AAAAATAACTTATTATATAAAGTCAAAATTTGTTAAATTATGATTATTCACTTTTAGTCAATTTGCCTTTCAACAGTAATTAGTAATGTTACTTTACCAAACTAGTAACATAATGTGACAAGTTATTCAAGTACAAAGGAGTGAATTGGTTGCGGAACTTATGGGTGGACCTCTGCGGGACGAGCGCAGCGAGTTCCGCAGCCATCTACTCACCAATATACTGTTGAACTGTTCAAGTAAAGCAGTTTACATTTGAGTAAATCAGGTTAGTATCATAATTAAACAATATATTGATAAATAGATGGCTGCGGAACTCGCTTGCGCTCGTCCCGCAGAGGTCCACCTATAAGTTCCGCAACAATCTACTTATTTGTATTTGAAAAAATAGCTTATTATATAAAGTCCAAAATTTGTTAAAACTTTTAGTCAATTTGCCTTTCAACAGGAATTAGTAATATTACTTTACCAAACTAGTAATATAATGTGACAAGTTATTCAAGTACAAAGGAGTGAATTGTTGCGGAACTTATGGGTGGACCTCTGCGGGACGAGCGCAGCGAGTTCCGCAGCCATCTACTCATCAATATATTATTTAATTACAATACTAACCTGATTCACTCAAATGTGAAACATTTTACTTCAACAGTTTAACAGTATATTGGTGAGTAGATGGCTGCGGAACTCGCTGCGCTCGTCCCGCAGAGGTCCACCCATAAATTCCGCAACAATCTACTTATTTGTACTTGAAAAATAACTTATTATATAAAATCAAAATTTGTTAAATTATGATTATTTACTTTTAGTCAATTTGCCTTTCAACAGGAATTAGTAATGTTACTTTACCAAACTAGTAACATAATGTGACAAGTTATTCAAGTACAAAGGAGTGAATTGTTGCGGAACTTATGGGTGGACCTCTGCGGGACGAGCGCAGCGAGTTCCGCAGCCATCTACTCACCAATATACTGTTGAACTGTTCAAGTAAAGCAGTTTACATTTGAGTAAATCAGGTTAGTATCATAATTAAACAATATATTGATAAATAGATGGCTGCGGAACTCGCTGCGCTCGTCCCGCAGAGGTCCACCTATAAGTTCCGCAACAATCTACTTATTTGTATTTGAAAAATAGCTTATTATATAAAGTCAAAATTTGTTAAATTGTAATTATTCACTTTTAGTCAATTTGCCTTTCAACAGGAATTAGTAAGGTTACTTTACCAAACTAGTAACATAATGTAACAAGTTATTCAAGTACAAAGAAGTGAATTGTTGCGGAACTTATGGGTGGACCTCTGCGGGACGAGCGCAGCGAGTTCCGCAGCCATCTACTCATCAATATATTATTTAATTACAATACTAACCTGATTCACTCAAATGTGAAACATTTTACTTCAACAGTTTAACAGTATATTGGTGAGTAGATGGCTGCGGAACTCGCTGCGCTCGTCCCGCAGAGGTCTACCCATAAGTTCCGCAACAATCTACTTATTTGTACTTGAAAAATAACTTATTATATAAAGACAAAATTTGTTAAATTATGATTATTCACTTTTAGTCAATTTGCATTTCAACAGGAATTAGTAATGTTACTTTACCAAACTAGTAACATAATGTAACTAGTTATTCAAGTACAAAGGGAGTGAATTGTTGCGGAACTTATGGGTGGACCTCTGCGGGACGAGCGCAGCGAGTTCCGCAGCCATCTATTCATCAATATATTGTTTAATTATGATACTAACCTGATTCACTCAAATGTGAGTTATTCTCATTAGTTTAAAAATTACACGTTTCAGGTGAATGTCTTACTTGAACAGTTCAATAATATATTGGTGAGTAGATGGGCTGCGGAACTCGCTGCGCTCGTCCCGCAGAGGTCTACCCATAAGTTCCGCAACAATCTACACATTTGTATTTGAAAAATTGCTTATTATATAAAATCAAAATTTGTTAAATTATGATTATTCACTTTTAGTCGATTTGCCTTTCAACAGGAATTAGTAAGGTTACTTTACTAAACTAGTAATATAATGTAACAAGTTATTCAAGTACAAAGGAGGTGAATTGTTGCGGAACTTATGGGTGGACCACTGCGGGACGAGCGCAGCGAGTTCCGCAGCCATCTATTCATCAATATGTTGTTCAAGTATAATACTAATATGACTCACTCTTAATGTAAGTTGCTTTATTTGAATAGTTTAACTGTATATTGGTGAGTAGATGGCTGCGGAACTCGTTGCGCTCGTCCCGCAGAGGTCTACCCATAAGTTCCGCAACAATCTACTTATTTGTACTTGAAAAATAACTTATTATATAAAGACAAAATTTGTTAAATTATGATTATTCACTTTTAGTCAATTTGCATTTCAACAGGAATTAGTAATGTTACTTTACCAAACTAGTAACATAATGTAACTAGTTATTCAAGTACAAAGGAGTGAATTGTTGCGGAACTTATGGGTGGACCTCTGCGGGACGAGCGCAGCGAGTTCCGCAGCCATCTATTCATCAATATATTGTTTAATTATGATACTAACCTGATTCACTCAAATGTGAGTTATTCTCATTAGTTTAAAAATTACACGTTTCAGGTGAATGTCTTACTTGAACAGTTCAATAATATATTGGTGAGTAGATGGCTGCGGAACCTCGCTGCGCTCGTCCCGCAGAGGTCTACCCATAAGTTCCGCAACAATCTACACATTTGTATTTGAAAAAATTGCTTATTATATAAAATCAAAATTTGTTAAATTATGATTATTCACTTTTAGTCGATTTGCCTTTCAACAGGAATTAGTAAGGTTACTTTACTAAACTAGTAATATAATGTAACAAGTTATTCAAGTACAAAGGAGTGAATTGTTGCGGAACTTATGGGTGGACCACTGCGGGACGAGCGCAGCGAGTTCCGCAGCCATCTATTCATCAATATGTTGTTCAAGTATAATACTAATATGACTCACTCTTAATGTAAGTTGCTTTATTTGAATAGTTTAACTGTATATTGGTGAGTAGATGGGCTGCGGAACTCGTTGCGCTCGTCCCGCAGAGGTCTACCCATAAGTTCCGCAACAATCTACTTATTTGTACTTGAAAAATAACTTATTATATAAAGACAAAATTTGTTAAATTATGATTATTCACTTTTAGTCAATTTGCATTTCAACAGGAATTAGTAATGTTACTTTACCAAACTAGTAACATAATGTAACTAGTTATTCAAGTACAAAGGAGTGAATTGTTGCGGAACTTATGGGTGGACCTCTGCGGGACGAGCGCAGCGAGTTCCGCAGCCATCTATTCATCAATATATTGTTTAATTATGATACTAACCTGATTCACTCAAATGTGAGTTATTCTCATTAGTTTAAAAATTACACGTTTCAGGTGAATGTCTTACTTGAACAGTTCAATAATATATTGGTGAGTAGATGGCTGCGGAACTCGCTGCGCTCGTCCCGCAGAGGTCTACCCATAAGTTCCGCAACAATCTACACATTTGTATTTGAAAAATTGCTTATTATATAAAATCAAAATTTGTTAAATTATGATTATTCACTTTTAGTCGATTTGCCTTTCAACAGGAATTAGTAAGGTTACTTTACTAAACTAGTAATATAATGTAACAAGTTATTCAAGTACAAAGGAGTGAATTGTTGCGGAACTTATGGGTGGACCACTGCGGGACGAGCGCAGCGAGTTCCGCAGCCATCTATTCATCAATATGTTGTTCAAGTATAATACTAATATGACTCACTCTTAATGTAAGTTGCTTTATTTGAATAGTTTAACTGTATATTGGTGAGTAGATGGCTGCGGAACTCGTTGCGCTCGTCCCGCAGAGGTCTACCCATAAGTTCCCGCAACAATCTACTTATTTGTACTTGAAAAATAACTTATTATATAAAGACAAAATTTGTTAAATTATGATTATTCACTTTTAGTCAATTTGCATTTCAACAGGAATTAGTAATGTTACTTTACCAAACTAGTAACATAATGTAACTAGTTATTCAAGTACAAAGGAGTGAATTGTTGCGGAACTTATGGGTGGACCTCTGCGGGACGAGCGCAGCGAGTTCCGCAGCCATCTATTCATCAATATATTGTTTAATTATGATACTAACCTGATTCACTCAAATATAAACTACTTTACTTGAACAGTTCAATAGTATATTGGTGAGTAGATGGCTGCGGAACTCGCTGCGCTCGTCCCGCAGAGGTCCACCCATAAGTTTTGCAACAATCGACTTATTTGTATGTACAGGGTGTCCAAGATTTGATGGTTTTATCGGGTACCACTTGCGATCCTCGATTTTCAAGAGAAGTTGACCGGCGAAGCTACAAGGGGAAAAGTTGACCAAATTTAGTCAAACTTTTCAAAAAACCCCTCGTAAAAACGACTCGACATATCCAGATGCGGTTTTCACCAGTCAATTTCTTTTGAAAGATTTTTTCCAACTTCTAGCTACATACTATATAATTCCTCAAAAACTATTGAATCTTGGCCACCCTGTACATAATTCATTCTGCAATAAATTGCTCAGGCAAGATTCTGCCTTCAAAATTAATGAATTTTTGAATTAAATAAGCAAAGATTTTGAATTAAAAATGAATAACAAACCTTCATCCATGGCCTACTATAGAATAATCACAAACCTTAACCCAACAAAAAAAATAATAATCTAGGGCTCCCTATTAACATTTTTTAACCCAAAAAAAAAGTCCAAAGGCCTACTATGTTTGTTGACAAAAATAATTCATGGCCTACTATTGACTGTTCCAGGCCTACTATGACATTTCTAACCAAAAAATAACGTTTCCTCAAATATCTTCAGACCAATAATAATACCGCCTCTAGCCTTTTACCTATTCAAAAAACCCGACATCGATAATTCATATAATACGAAAAACGCCCCCCTACCCAACCAACAACGTTTTACCGAACGCAACCATCGCGGGTTTGACTTTTATATAATTTTTTTTTACTGGGTGACCATTCCTCGCTCGCTGAGCTCTTTTAGTGTTAACTCAGTCGTTGGTTGAGCGGGTCCGTATGGTATATACATATACCTTAAAAAGTGCTCCGGAGTTTTTGCGTAATATTTGGATTTAATATTGAGTGAATATTTTAAGTGGATTGAAAATATATATATTTTGAAACACTGGATCGTACTACATGTTTTTTGGATTTGAGCGAGTTTAGTATGTTTCTAGTAAGTGACGTTTTTGTGTTTTTTCTTGTATGTAGTTGAATGATGATTTTGTCCTCAAATGTAAGTAAATTTTTTTTGAGTTTTTTTTTTTTGTATTGACTCACTAACCCCTTGTAAAGAAAAAATTATTTGAATCGGTGGATTTTTGTTTTACTAATTAACTATTGGATTAATTTTAAAAAAAAATAAAATTAATTGTCGCCAAGGGCATAAGGCGGATCAACTTGAATAAATTAAATAATTAAAATCAGATTGAAATATGGTTGGGTAATAATTTTCTATGATTAAAAAGTAGTTTTACGTTATTTTGTCCGACGGCACTGGTTTCAAATTGGTTCAAAAACGCACTCATTTCCAAGTTTTTTCAAATAATTTGTTAATGAATAAATCAGTCATGAACCACTGCGCATAGCCATCTACTACTCAATTTTAAGTAATTTTTTGAAAATTTCTTTTGAAATATATTGAAATTTTTCCAAATTTCACCGAAATTCCAAGTTTTTAGCCGAAATTTTTTGTAATTTTACTAAAATTCAGTAATTCGATGTGATTTTTTGGAAATTTCTCGTAAATCATTCATAGCCATCTACTACTCAACGAAATTTACTCCATTAATTTTTGTATCAAAATGACAAGGTTGAGAGCAATTGTCAATATTTCCATTAAAATTTAAGTAAATCAAAATAAACTATACATCATTGGAAAGAGGATTAAATTCTCTATAATTTCATGTTAAATTAGTGTTAATAACTTAAATATTCACTGAGCAACTGAACTTCAAAGTTAAAATTTATTTAAAGTTTAAAAAATTCAAATTTTTAATTTTTTCAAATTTTGACTTTTCCAATCGATACAGTGGGTCTAAATTATAAGTAAGAAGAAAAAACAAAAATTCAAGTTTTAGCCCAAATCCTTTATTCTTAATTTTTGTTCTTAACTCTTAGGGCCGATTTATTCACCTTCTGTTAAACTAGCAGATATGCAATTTGTAACTAACGCAAACCCGGCCCGAAGGGCCGGAGTTATACGCAAACCCGGCCCGAAGGGCCGGAGTATTACACAAACCCGGCCCGAAGGGCCGGAGTTATACGCAAACCCGGCCCGAAGGGCCGGAGTATTACACAAACCCGGCCCGAAGGGCCGGAGTTATACGCAAACCCGGCCCGAAGGGCCGGAGTATTACACAAACCCGGCCCGAAGGGCCGGAGTTATACG